ACATTTTTTTTTTTTTTTTGCTATAAAAAATAACCCCGAAGTGAATACGATGTGCGATAGACTTTTTTATGAATTACACAATATTACATTTTTCAGAGATAATGTCTGTAGTAATTATGTTATATTAATTCGAAATAAATTTAGCTGAATTATTAAATACGTCAATTATTGAATAACCTCAGATATTACTGTCGACGAAAAAGAAAAATTAATGGACTATAATAATTATAAATTTACAAACGTGTATACATCAAACTTAAAAATATATCAATAATTAATTTTTTCAATATTTAAATAATATATATTTATATACATTTGTGTGTGTGTGTGTGTGTAATAATCCATTATAAAATTAATAAACTTTTATAGTTGGTTTTTTGTATTTTAATTGAAAATCGAGATTTAAGTTGTACTCCATTACAGTCCAATTTATACTGATTCGCATGTTGTTTGAAACTGTTATGAAATCGATACGAAAAAAAAATGAACCGTTAAAATCGCGTCATCATAATTTATAAACTAGACGATAGCGAGTCAATTATGTAAAATAATATCGACTCAAGAAGTTTGAATTTTTTCTCAACTTTGTTACAATTATGTCCACATCTAATAGCCAACTGAGTCAACAACAATAATTATTGAAACGTGTATGAATTGGGCCGAAGGCTCTTAATTGTTATTTTATATCAAGAAGTCGATTTATTTATATTGTAAAAACGTTTTACAATCGTTTTGAACGTGAAACATTTATAAGCCACGCGAATGCATTTTCCGGTTTTATTGAAATGCGTTTGAACGTTACGGAAACAAGAAACGATTTATCGTTCGGTAGGACACGTTCTTCTCAATGGTGTAATGGAACGTGTCTAACTTTTCCATTTTTCATTTGATGATACTTATAATATAATTTTTGATACACATATATACGCGTATAGTACTAGCTATACAATAAACTATATAGCAATAAAGAGTAGAATTTTGACCATTAATTTTACAAAAATCAAAAATAGCAAACATATTTCCTTGTTATCTCGTTTATTCGGTACGGTTATTATGTTTACATTTTACACGTCTATTTTTAATCGAATTGCACAGAAATTTAGTTTAATAAAAACCGTTACACTGCTGCAAGTTGCAACATAGTCTTATGAAGTATTTCATCGATTCTTATTAGGATATTTATTTTGTTAGCTAATCTTATTGCTCGAAAAAATTGAAGGGAGATGGGTAGATTGTTAACTTCACTCACGCTTTTTAACCACGATCACGTCGTACTCAAGACATCTTTTAGAACCGTATCAACGGTTCTTCTTAATTTTTTACTCGGCCCGTCACAATTGCGGAAAGATAACACGTTTGTCTCCGGCCATATACATCATATTGATATGCCATGTGCACGGAGCTACACGAACGTCGATAATCTATTTCATGGATACTTTTTTCGAATTAATATTTATTATACACTACTAAATCTGAATAAAAAAAATGAAATTGATTCTCATCAAATTGAATAACCTCCCCTTGTATTATACGACCATAATTCGGTCAAATATATAAATGTATATAATCACAGTATACATACAGTGCTTGTCTAGAATACGTCTTGACTTCTAGCCCATAGTTTCACAACACGAACTTCAGATGTACGTGGCACAGCATACATGTGCAATGCGTATTGAAATTCATCTCATTCATGTCATGACCATGCCTAGAATCGCGCGTGTGACCGATTCGAATGACAATTATCGTGAAGTCTTATGCATGTGTGCACGTCTCCGTGTTTCTAATCTTATTCCCGAAATAAACGTGTACATACCGGCAGCTTTTAGCGTACACGTACTACTGTACAAGTATGACGTGGACCCGCAGGATAAGGTTAATAAAATCATTCCCACGACAATTCGTAGAGGTAATAAAACGGTATATTTATCGAACTGTTAAGTCGAGAGTTACTAAACGCACGCGATGGGCACTGCTGGAAACAAATTATTGTTTTTACGGGAAACGTCAACGCGGGAAAAAATCAGCTGTAATACGGTTACGCTCTAAAAAATAACGCGATTGCGAGCGTTTTACCTTTTTACCCGTAAAAAACGAAACACGATAGCCGTTGACCGTATTTCAAAACGCACTATTTAAAAATATTAAATCCTAGCGTAATAATAATCTGATCAATTTTTACACAGCGGTGGTTTAGTTTTTCTCGGCCGATGCACAATATTGTGCATCGGTACCAATACCGTACAGTACGGTACGTCAACACCTACTACCACGGGTAGATAGCCGTAAAGCGTTGATAGTAAAATGATTAAATATTTTCAATTTTTATTAGCGATCACCATAGACAATGGCTACGCCACCGATTCTCGACTGGTACCGAATTGGTTTCCGAGCTCCAAACCCACGCACCGAATTGGTTCCCGTCTGAAAAAGTTATTTTATTAGGTATAGCCGAATTGGTTCCCGTTTGAAAAAGGTACTTTATTAGGCATAGCCAAATTGGTTCCCGTTTAATTACGCACATTTTCCTTCTTAATTTTATAGGCTTAGGACTGTCAACTTAAAAGTAGGGTTGATTAATAATGTGCGTTAAAAAAAAATGATAAAATATATACAATTTTAAATCGTTGATTTGGAAGTCAACTAGTCATCACTTAGGTATACGAAATACCAATAATAAAATATAATAAATACAATTTAAAACCACTGATTTGCAAAATTTGAAGCTAACTTTCTTTAAATATTTAATTCTCGTAATTTTCTCATTAATGTAATCTGTCATACAATTTTCCAAGCATTTGTTATTTCTGTCTTATTTGCTTGTAATTTGCTAATCTCTAGTAATCTATATTTCTATACTATATCTTATAGATATAATAATTGTTACTATTATTATGTCATAAATATAGTTTTTAAAATTTTGTTTTTCGCTCTTTATGCACTGGCCCGCTAGATTTTAATTTTTAATATTGTAAGTAAATTATTTTAAAAATTAAAATTGTCCTTATTTTACCTGTACACAAACGGGAACCAATTCAGCTATACCTAATAAAATGCTTTTTTTTTAAACGGGAACCAATTCGGCTGTACCTAATAAAATGCCTTTTTTAAACGGGAACCAATTCGGCTGTACCTAATAAAATACCTTTTTCAAACGGGAACCAATTCGGTTACTCCCCGATTCTCAACCGCCGTGGACCGTTCCCAAATCAATACACCTTACACGCGCACGTACACGAGTGCGCGATGTGCTCGCGCGAAACCGGAACAATGGTAATTCGTGCGATATAAAGGTGTGTCCGTTATTGTTACGACGACGACGACGACGTGCACAATGTACCGAACACACACACACACACGCGGCGAAGGCACTCGCGATAATGACATCCGTATTACAGACGTGTACACGTAACGGGTAACGCGGGGTACGGATCGCGTCGTGCTAGGGCGGTCATCTCGTAAATGCGTTTTACAGTAAAATTTTATCGACGTCTGCGCAACGCACGCGCGCGCACGCAAACACTACTACGATATTATGTACCGGGTACGGGACGCGCGTATCAAATTACCACTGGCGAACGTTTTGTATGTGTTTAGCCGGCGAGTTGGTGCGCGCGCGATGGATATTCGATTGCGTAATGACCCCTCTACGTACGCATTACCGTTTATCGTACGAACGCATTGTATTATGATAATTACATCTGCCGACGGTCGAGATGTATTGCGATTTCACCCGCAATGACAACCTTACGCGCGTATCGATCGCGTCCAAAGTCAAAACGCTAAACAAACGCCTACGAACAACGCCTGTGTACACCGTGGATTATTTGGTTTACATATCGAATCGTGAACGCGTGTTTTGATTTTACACGTCCGACCGGTTTCCGTGCCGATCGAGCTTCCGAATTTCGGCATGATCTTCAGTACGGTAAACGGTGTATATACCACGCGTGTAATGTATGGAAAATAATACGGTACATTATTATGTTAATACGTGCGAGTATGTTTCCTAAAGTAACCAATATATCATTATTACCTATGTGTACATTTATATTTAACGTTCATGCTCGTAAGTGATTTGCTAAAAATCAATGTTTACATTCACATTTTCGCCATAAGTTTTTTTCATAGTCATACATGGAAATCCGTGAAAAAGACAAGTACGCATGATGGACAACACGCCGTAGACTTAAGTCTTACACACGCGGAGCTATTCACAAGAAACTAAACGGTTTCGCGAATGAAATTATTAATCGGTTACTAACGCATGGGTGACTTAGGATCCAATAAGTGCACAGGGTCGTCATCGTTTTGCTGTACCATGAGTGTTATGATGATTCTAGATACGAATAAGCGGTGGTAACATACTACTATTACAGAAGAAATAAAGAAAAAAGAAAGTTTTGGATTCATTAATGCCTCGAAAAAAATGATTTTTTCAGATGTTTCCGCCAACTTTAAATTCAATATGGGGTGAAATAAAGTTAAATGAATTTAAAATTACTGTTTTTTAAAGATAAATATAATTTTCAAGTAAATTGTGTATTATAGAATTACATTATACGTTCAACAAATAGAAGTGACTCAACTCAAAGGTTCAACCCGGCAGTTGAATCACTTGGAACTGATCGATAACGCATGAGTAACTAATTAGTAACCAATTACACCGTCTGTTACGTTCTATTGAACAACATAGGTAGTGAATCAACCGTGGAAAAGTTAGTGATTTGTGTCAATAATTAATTTTTAATTAATAGCTTCGTGGTCTTATATTTCCTGGCAGGTAAAAATCTGGATTTTAAATTATATATAGTATGTAGTTTTTACAGAATATTTCCGATATGAATTACGTGTTCGTCCCTACTTCCTGCCCATAATTACTGTTTTTGAACGTCTGTACGTTCATAAAATATTACTTATACATATTAGATCATTGAATTATTCAAACCGTTAGTGTATACACTATTCTAAATGATTGCGTCAAAGAGCGGTAAACTTACCAGCAGGCTTAGGAACATTTCGTTTGACTTGCATCCACTTGTAAGTGGGCACGGCCGTTTGAACAGCCGAAGCGGCCACGACAGAGCTTTGCTTTTGCTGAGCGCCACCGTTTTGCCGACTGCAGAGCTGTTGCTGCTGTTGGTGATGATGGTGATGATGCTGTTGTTGCTGTTGTTGCTGCTGCTGCTGCTGTTGCTGTTGTTGTTGTTGTTGTTGTTGTTGTTGTTGTTGGTGCTGGTGGTGGAGGTGATGGTGATGTTGCTGATGCTGAACGTGTTGCTGCTGCGATTGGCCGGCACCCAAAGCAGCGGCGTGGTACGTGGCCGCGTCGTCGTTGTACGACGACGAACAGTCTTGACCGCCACCGCCATAACACTGGCCACCTGCCGTAACCTCCTGTTTGATGGCTCGTGAACACCGTTCGTCGCCGGACGTCTGCGACGTGGTCAATTGTTGTCGCGAAGTTACCGCCGGACGTCCGGACGACTGTGCCGACAACACCTGCGACGGAGGCGGCGGCGGCGGTTGCGGCGGCGGTGGCTGAGTGGAAGGAGGCCGTGGTTGCTGCTGCGTGGATTGTGACGGTTGTTGCTGCCCGGCCACGGTCGCGATGGCCGCGTGGTCGCCGTGGTTCAGGTGCATGTTGAAGAAAGCGTTGTCCACGGACGCTCCTCCGCCACCGCCGCAAAAGGATTCAGCGCGGACGTTGTCGTCGCGATGGCCGCCGTAACCGTTGTAGACGCCGCCGCCGCCGCCGCCGCCGCCGTCGTCCGAATACGTTCCGTAGTCTTGACCGCCACCGCCGCCATGCAGGTGTACGGCAGCCGCGACGCCGTTGCAGTCCAAGTTCGTGTAACTCAGGCCGTCCGACGACGTGATGATGACGGCCGCTTCGGCTGACTGTGGATGGTGATTGTGATGTCCGTGGTGGTGATGATGATGGTGGTGATGGTAGCCACCACCTTCGGCCACCAGTTGATCGTACGCGTTGTCGCCGTAATACGAATGGTAATCGACCGCCGCCGACGCGTTCTTCTCGTAGTAAACACCGCACTCGGCCGCGTACGCGGGCTCCAGCGGCGGCCGGCCACCCAGACACTGCGGCATGTCGTAGTCGGTCACCAGGCCGCCACCACCGCCACCGCAGTAATAGTCGTCCACCGTGGCCGACGTTTGTGTCGTATAAGCCATCATGTTGCTGCCACCAACGCCACTGCCGCCGCCGCCCACGTTGCCGCCACTGCCGCCGCCGCTGACCATGCCGCTGCCACCGCCGCCGCCGCCGCCGCCGCCGCACGTGTTGTTGTGCATTCCCATGTTAGTCGTCTGCGAATGTATAAAACAATGATAAGTCGTTACACACGGCAACAGTGCAGTGCTTATTAATAACGTGTTAAACATATCGGGAGGATTATATTATACGGCGGTTAAAAATTACAGTTTTTTTTTTTTTAAATCTGATAGTGCTTCGGATGTTATTGGCTGTTGTATTTCTTGCCAAAAACAAATGTGTTTCGTCTGCATTTCAAACACTATTGGACATCGGTTATACTTTAAAAAATATAGTATACCAGGTATCTGTATAGTTGAATACAGTATTGTTTAAGATTCCAATAAAATTAGACAATTATTTTTAGGATTGGCTACAAATTTAAGGAAAAGATCTTTTATCTTAGACTAGGGACCCGAGTTCAATTCTCACCTGGTGCAAAAGTTTAATTTTTTATAATTCTATAATTTTAGCTCTAAGTAAATGTACCTATAACCAAAAAAATAATATTCGATCATATTTTGGATTGTTATCTAATATATAGTGTTTCGGAGCAGAGAAGAATGAGATGAAAGTAATGATCTAATTTTTATGCATTCTATTAGTTACAATAATAATTATTATATAATAATTATTTACAGTTCTATAAAATTCCAAAAGCAAAACGTGTGTACTATTGTATAATAAACAATTATAATCAATAAATGTGAGGTTGAAGAAACAATGAAATTTAATTCATCACTTTTATATATATTACACAAATTATTTCGCAGACTAATGCATCAGTGTAGAATACTCATTTAAGTTTGAAAAATTAAAAATTCAATAAACAGTTTTGTGACATGTTTGTCGTACAACGATAAATTCGTTATTTAAATATGACTACTAGTTGATTTATGCGTGCATTAATTTCGTCAGCGGTGTAACAATAGAGTATAGTAAATTGGATATAGATCAGGGGATCTAATTATGAAGGTGTACAAAATTATGTAATTTAAACGAATTTATTTTTATTTAACTTTAGTATTAAAACAGAGAATTTTTCAACGTTTCTTGGAGCACTAGCGATATTTCCTACGCCACTGGCGATTCTAACTTCTATACAGCCTCAGTTCGTCATATATTTTATAATTACAACCCTGTATTTATTTTTTTACTCAATTTTATTAGAATATGTATTAAAATGTGTGGACTATCTTGTACCTTGTTATTATAATTCTATACCTATTAAGTTAAAAACAAATATTTATTAAAATAATATCTATAATTTTAAAAATGATATATTTGAATGGTCATTTTTATCTATTACTTAAAAATGAAAATCTGTTATTTAATATATATTTATATAATCTAATACCTATGTAAGAATATAAACTTTTTATATTTTTAATTGTATATTTTAGTTGCAAGAAATAATGTAAACATATATTTAATTAATAAATTAGTTAAAATTATTATTTTTAACTCTTTGCCTTCACCACAATCTCCGCGTAAAGAAGGTAGATAATTAGATAAAAATGTTTCCTTTGTATCAGTAATTATGTTCATTTCAATAAATAATTTTAAAAAAAAATGTATTCATATATAAATCCATATTCTGGTAATATTATCATAATAATTTCGTATTAAACTATTGCCATAATAGGTAAATGGTAGTTTATATATTAAAATATAATTATATTTAATTTTTTAAATAAACCTATACCTAGTAGACAGTATAAGATAATTGTTATTATATTATTAGTGTTTTGTTGTAATAATCCCAGAAAATTCATACAAATGTACCTATAGTTTTTCATATTTTATACTACGTGTGAATATCATAATGGTAAAATAATTCATCCGAGATTTTTAATTTTTAATAATATAAACTGTTAAAATTTAAAAATTAATCATTTCCTATTGAATTATTTTTGTTGAAATACCGATTGCAACTAATTATACATGATAATAATATTTAACAAGTGTATAAAATTCGAATCTTCATAATCATAGGTGGACCTAGGAGTTTTACATTTGAGTGTGCTCTGTTATTTTTTTGTTTTTTTTTTCAAAATATAAAGAAGAGGCTATAAACACGTACGTATAGACCGTGCTATGATTTAAATTTTAAAAATAAAGGCTTCATTAATGATGTAAAATAACGATTGCTAAAAAAAACGTAATTATTATTTCAGACTTATTCTAAACACTTGCAGTATTACTTACAAAAAACAAAAATTGAATTAATGTGTATGGACATATATTTTTAATTATAAATACACAATTTTTTTATTCACATTATTCACATTAGGGTGTTTGGCACACCCGGTACACCCCGTAGAGCCGCCTATGTTCATAATTGTTTTGAAGTTGAAATAATTATGGTTATCTCATACTTTACTATTTATTTATCTTGGAGACTTTTGTTGTTTTCCTTTATTTTATTTGCAAAGATTTTTTTTTCTATTAATATTACCAAATCACGAATTAAATTGAGTTAGTAACAATCGTCTGCATAGAAAAAATAGTGTCCCCTAACAAAAACGTCAAATCTTTCAGGTTAGAATAGAATGAAATTGACTGTAACTGAATTACAATGTATTTTTGAGACTGACATATCCAGATGATGGTTATCTGTTGTCAGAGAAGCGACAAATCTTTTTCAATGTACACGTCGACATTATCTGTACCAAGTTTTGACAAAAAATCGTTTTTGACAGTTTTCTGTAAACTTTTCGATAGAAAATTTAAGCTGTACACCACGTCAACTCTAATGGAGCAAGTGCAATTTTTGTTTATTCCTATAGATAAAAGCAATGATTATATACATGAATGAATAATTAAATTATAAAGCATTTTAATTATGTATTTTAATGACCCAATTTACAAAATATTAAAACTACGATACCTATTTATTAAATTAATAATTTTAATTCGACGTTTCTATTTATTTTATTTACTTAAAACAATAATTGTAAAGCTTAAACGTTTTGAATCTATACAAATTGTTTAGACTTTCATCGTAAATATGTAGTGCATTATCTTTAATATTTTAAAACATGATTAAAACTATAATTTTTCAACTGGCAAATCAGTGTTCAATTAGTTAATCAAGTTAATTGTGCAAGAATAATATAGGTATCATTTAATTATTAATTGAAAATTGTATGTTTGATTATATTTACTAGGTTCCTACACCTAATCAAAGAATCTATAGTTACATTTAGAGAAGTTTTAACTGACCGCTACATAAATCACTTCTTCACATATTAAAAGCCACCTCGCAGTTATTAAAAAATAACTGAAGAACGTTCAACTCATTCCCCAGAAAATAATAATTTCGGTCGACACTCATCAGGATTTTAGTGTTTCTTTAGTTTGCTGAAATCAATATTGTAATCCACCTCTAGGAATCCATTTTCCGAATACTGTCGAACAGTTACGTTGATTATTGGTTTAAATAAATTATTTTGGAAAGAGTAAATTTTTTAATCCAACAATAAAAAATACATTTTTTTTAAAATTACTACTGATCTATAAAGGACATAATCAAAACCCGAATGCATGGAATATTTAAATACGAATTTTACATACTTATTCGGGATCACTGCGGAACAACACGTAGGTTTCTTCCTGATAATCAAGAATGAAATATATATAATACACATTGGTATACAATAGAACCGGATTTGTACAGAACTATAGTTTTAATTAAATCTCTCAAATACAGGCAACAAATACTTATATTATTATCAGTCAACATTGTACTTAAACCGGAAGGGACCGTGTGGTTGGAAAATATGGAATTGTGTTTATGAACTCGCTACTGTTTTCATTATTTTTTTTACTTGTTTTTTAAAATTTAATTAATTACTCGGTTCTTATTTAAATTCTTATTTATTTAATATTTATACATTTTTTTTTTCGTGTCATTTATTTGTTACTTGACTACTAATTTTTTTTTCATATTACGTCAAAAAATGTGCGATACGCAATAATAATCATAGTGGAGTTGTACTCGTGTAATGCAATGAAATCGTTACGTGCGTCATAGATGTCTAGGCCAGGGGTCGGCTACTGACGGACAGCTGTCCGAATCCGGACTGCGGAAGGCCATACTCTGGACCCTGTCAACTTTTATTTTCGTACTTCTAATATTGTAATTTTTAATATAAAGTAATTGTAATAACCAAATAATTATTTTTATTTTTATACTGCTATTTTTAAAATATAAAGATTTTTTTCACGGGACCTCATTCATTTATTATTCTAAACTTTTGGACTCCAACGTAAATTACTCGCCGACCCCTGGTCTAGGCACTTGTTTTTACGGTGTGCAGATCGCAACGCGCGCAACCACTTACCTGATAGATAATAGGCCTGTTCATCGATAACATCACTTCGTCCAGTGGCGATAGCGGCGGCGCATACCACCGCTACGTGGGTAAGTAAGTAAATAAGTAAGTAAGTCCGTGTGGCCGAACGGTCGCGGTAACTCGTAACTCGTAACGTTTTTATAAACCGATCGCGCAAATCAAACAATTCACGGCTCCGAATTTGAATGCTACAATATCTCCGTTTGCCGTTAGCCGAATGTCACACCGGTTGCGCGGTCGACACGCATGTCACGGCGTACGGAATATGCGCGACGGCGCACGTTCGCGGGCGGTACACGGGGTCGCTGCGGTCGCGCTGTACTGCACCGCGGCTGTTGGCCGATGACACTGCACTGGTGGTCGCACGCGCGCGAGGTGATCGGGAGACGCGAACGGTAAACGCGGTGCACGTATCGCGGGCACAGGTACGCGCGCAGGTACTGCACACGTTTAGGCGGCGCGTGCGGACGTGTATATGACAAGGCCGGTGGCGGCCGCGGCCGCGCGAACGGTGCAGATCGCGGTGGGGCACGGGGTGGAGACACCGGGCCCGCCCGTAACGACGCGTCGGTCCAATGGCCGTCGGCGTCCGGCCGCCGCGCGACGGGTCCACGGCCGCGCGCGCAGCATCCTCCGTCTGTCGGTGTCCCGCGAACACCGCCGACCAGTGATCGATTGCGCGCGACGCGTGTGCCCGACCGCGCGTTCCTGGACCAATGGACGGTGGCCCCGCGGCGATCGCACCCTCCGCGACCGCGTTCATGTCGCTGTCGTGTCGCTACGATATTATTACACGTTGTTGCCGCGCGCGAATGACCCACTTCTCGCCCGCGTACCGTCCACACCGAGCTTATCACACCGCGTTCTTCCGCGGCCAGCACATTGCCGTGCGGCGTTCGCCTACCACCGAAACGTCAATTTTGGTTAGCCGCTGAGCGGTTTTTGAAAAATACGACGTGGCTAAGGAAAACCTGTCGGTTCATCGGTAACCGATGTCTTACGTAGCATCAACGGTGTAACGATGCACAAGTACCGTCTCTTCTACGATCAATGTTCACTTTTAAGTAGAGCGCGTAATACGAGCGACCAAGGATTGTTAGACTGACAATGAGTGTGCTACGTGTTGTTTTAACGAATGATTTTGCACGCCGATAATAAGACGGCGAATAAAAGATATTAGATGGGAAGAGATGAAATTTCTTAATTATTACTAGGGGGTGAGGGCACGGAAAATGCTGTTTGAAAGGAACGTGCGAAGGACTGCAGACCGCAGAAGAGACAAAATGCGCTGGATACCGGCGAGACAAAACGGTCCAACAGTGAGTTAGGTCCCGTTACGAGTGATGAACATGGCGGACGTTTGTTTTGGAACACGCGATCGATCAATAGTTTATCCCAGCTTAGGTCCAGTTACAATTATTTTAATTTACATAGGTACACATTTCTCTTCTTTTTTTTTTTCGTTAACTTTTCATAACATTTTTGAATTTAATCGGAAAAAATGATCATAACACAATTCCTCCTGTTTGACTCGTTTATAATATTTAAATATATTAAAAAGTAAATAATAACGACGTGAAAAATATTAATGATAACTATCCGAAAACAGGCCAGGTCCGAGCCTACCAGGCCTGCCCTCTGGGCACGCCACTGGTTGTACCGCTCTTTGTTTCTGGTTGTAGCCGAAAAGGTACTACCGCGATCCGTGGAGAACACACCCCTCGCGTGCGCGCGAGTTGCACGTTTTTCGGTTACGAACCGCGAGATGAAAACGAAAAAAAAAAACCGACTTTGTACACGCCGCGAATACCGTACGTCCGCATTGTCCGCGTGTCGATCCGTAACGGTCCCCGTCGCGGTAGTAACGCCTAACCGGATTGGTATACGCGTTCGCGTGTATTGTGTAGGTACGTATACAATTATACGTGTACGCCGTATTGTGTTTGTCGTGTTACGCACAACAATGGGCATACGGTTTCGCGTGTTTTTATTATGTATTCGCGGGTGTATCCGCATTGTATTCGCACCGGGCCGCATGTGCTCGCGAACGCATTGTGCGCGTTGGTCGCCATACCGTGAGCGTATTTCTTCTATTCTCGTCCACCGCACCCGACGACAGCTATGCATCAACGCTCCCCCCTCTCCTCCGACCTAAAATTTACAAACCGTACTCAATAGTATTCGACATCGTGGTCCGCGACAAAACGTTACCTACTCGTTGCGCTCGTACCATTCGCACCTCCTCTTCGTTCTCCTGTTGACATCCGCTCGAACGCTGACGTATTTTTTTCCTCGGCAACATCATCACGTCGCCAAACCAGGTACAGTATTGGATCGCACGGCTATGTAGAAAAAATATTTTTCATTCGAAACGTACCGCGATGTGTTGTTGATGACCTAAAGACCGCACGAAAATGCCACGAAAAATAAATTCAAAAATTAACTCAAGAAATTACCAACTACTAAATCTACTTAAATAAATGAAGAAATTTAATTAAAATTGTTATTGTCATTATTATTAGAGTTATGGGTGATACGGGATATATCAAATATATTTTCAACAGTGAAAAAGGTATACAGGTATATGAAATTATAAAAAAAATGAATTGAAAAGTAAAAAAAAACTCCCATATCAAAAATTTTCGAATTTTTCATTGTTCGTCTGATCGAAAATCTCTGAAAATAAGTAAAACAATAATTTCAATAATTTCTGATTAAAAACAATAATTTTGTTGTTTTGCACATCACAATCCGTTACAATATACAATTATGAAGTACTCGAAGTAGATGATGTCATCAATAGCTAAATTTTCTAGAATATCTTCTCCTCTTGTGTCTTTCCCTTCTAGCATTAATGAGATTTCAGATAAAATTTTAAATCCATTAATTTCCATTAATCAAAACATTAAACATAATTATACGAATATATACGAATATCATAATGCGATCGACGAGGACTGTCCACCGGTTAGCGTTTAGCACACAAATCCAATACGTTTTGTACTGTTAATAATAATATACTTACTAAAAAAACACTTGGCCGTTGTATTATAAACATCGATAAGACACTATAAGACCAATAAATATTTGTAAAAAATATTACTGAATAAAGAGCAGTACGTTCTCAAAACAACAATAGGTACAAAAACGTTTCGAGTATGTACAATTTGACATAGTACAAAACAAAAAACATATATTTTCAATTGTACTATTAGGGTTGATGATATTTCATACTAGGATTAGAAAAATAATTGTGTCATGGTAACCCCATAACTAGACTGTGTTTCTGTTTATTTGACAAAATCGTGTTCGGAACAGTTTTCACGGTTTAATAACAGTGGTAATTAAACACACCCCAGTTAGGAAAGTCATCGTCGAAAGCCGTCTATGGGACGAGGCTTAATTAAGAGCGTTCACCAAAGGGGTCCGACAGCTCAGAGTCATAAATTAATGTAAGCCCACATTTTGTCATGACAAATTGGCCTGTCTTAAGGCTATATATATATAATGTTTTACAAAGACCGCAATGTCGATAATTCTCTCTATATACGGTGTCAATAATGTTTTCAACCATTTATAACTAGCTTACATACGGCATTACATGCGTATGCGCAAGAATAGGTACTCTCACACACACACACACACACACACACACATCATGCTAGGTAAATAAATAATGAAACATCTTAACATCATTATATTCATTAATTTGATTTTATGATACTAGTGAATTATAAATAGGTGTAAAAATATTCATTAACGAAATGTTTTAAAACGTTTAAGAATATTTACAAGAATAACTGTAATTTAATCTAATAAGTAAAATTCTTAATGTTATATAACTCTAATTATTTAAATTGCGTAATAAAAAATGTTTGGTATGCATTGAATTAATAAATTTGGAAATTTTATCGTATGTATATTCTTCATAGCTATATAATTAAAAATATGATATTTTATAGTGTTTATTGATATATTATTGATATTATTTTAGTAATTAATTACACGTGGCATCCTGTCGAACCATCCAGTTTCTTTGTGTTGGCGAAAGATGGGATAACAAAAAATATTATACACTCTGTTGCATTAGGGGATTGATATTGTTTTTTACTATTATTGTCATCATAAGCGTTATATATAATTTTAAAGGATCAATTTTAATAAATTATTAAAAAAATAAATGTTTATTATTTTTATTTTTTATATTTTGTCACCATTTACAGCATTTCATACCTCTTTCACTTATATACCACATCCTTACGCACCTATATTAAATTAGTTAGTTTTTTAGCAAAATTTTCTAATATTCTATAATAGCAATATTATATAATAGCAAAATATTCTCTAGAAATAATTTATATGACAAAACAACGTTTGTCGAGTCAGCTAGTATTATATAAAATTAAAGGCTATATCTTGAGTGTGATTTTGATGATCGAACTGTAAATAATTTAAATAATTTATTCAGTTTGTATTTTTATGAACACAAATACAATATTATTTATTACGTATAATAGTAAAACATCTTAAATTATATGCGGTACTACAAATTTGTTCGTTAATAAAATACATAACATTAATGTTAATTTATCATACATTTTTAATATGTTCGCAATACGAATAAATACTTATATTATTCGTTTTTATTATTGTATTAAAAAAATTAAAGAACTTTATCCAATGTATATAAAAAATATAAATATGATTTTTACTTTAGGGGAATTTCGGTCGTGTCGTTTAGCATGACCGTCAGATTTTGTAGTTAAACCCGAGGGATTTACCCCACAACTCGACAATTCAAATAAATATGCAATTCGATATGGTACTGTCCTGCAGTTTGGGTATTTGGTGAAGGGTAGGTATACCTATACATACAATGATGTGAGGTGTTCACCCATGGGACGATTCCCGTTTAAACATATTCTTTTAACTATAGGGATGAATGGGGTTATAGGATTTGTGGTCGTATGGTTCTGTATTCTACAGAGATTAGTTCCTGGTGTATAGTTTAGAAGTATGTATTTTAAATTAGACACAAAGTCATTGTTGTTGTAGTTGGTAGTATTGCAAGATTTATATTTTTTTTACAATTTATAACTATAACACAAAATAATATGTATACAATTATCATATTTCTAAATTTAAATTATACATGTAAAACGCAGGAAAGCAAATTTCTTGAGAATCTATCAGTAAATAAATGTTCAACACATTTTTCTATACATAAATATTTCTCAATTATTTTAGTAATCGTTTGAGTGAATTATTATATGTGTACATCGATTTTATAGATTTCATAGATTTAACATTTACTTTAAAATTGGCTATAACCCATTTAATTGCTTGAGTATAGAATAATTAATTTTTTTATTTCTTGGAAAATTCGTAAAACACAATTTTATTATAAGCAAATGTATTAAAAATGATTTAATATTCCAAGTCAGTATAAGGGCTCA